CAATAGTTATAGCATTGTCACTTCTGTTAGCCCCACAGCTAATACCTGGGTCTGCTTCTCCACTACTCAGTTCTGGTGTCTTCAACTCAGTTCTGAATTTTTTTCCTTTTCTTCTCAATTTTTCATTTTTCCCCATATTCCTTATCAAACCTACTTGTCTTTCTTTCTCCACCATTCTTCTCCTTCAGGCAGAGGCTGTTTAAATTGAAAAGGGAAGGGCAAGCTCTTAGACAACAATGGGAAGAGAAGAAGCTTGGGCATTTTTTTCACAGTGTGTTCTTCCTCTCACAGTCAGATATTGACTTAAAGTTAAATTTAAATAGGTTATTTTTTATGGGGGCAATGTTACTTCCAAATCAAAACAGTTATCTTTCCTGTTTTTCATGATGAATTTAAAGTGCAAATTTGAATTTTTGGAAGTTTTACATGAAAATAAGTGTAATTGTAATTTATTTTCAGGATTTTATGTTACTGAAAGAATAATTTCATAATCTCATAATTAAGGGATAAGTACATTAAATACCCCCCCAAAAAGCACTCCATAATCATAAACTTTTGGGAAGATAGTCCATGTCATTAACTACATGGAATATTGTCCTAAAATGCTAATTAATTTACTCCCGTGGTTGTGTAACTGGGGAAAACAAGGAAATTAAAAATTAAAAATGAAATGAAGACAATATTTTTTAGATAAGATCAGTTATTTTTGCTTTTGTGCTCACATTTATACATACACAAAATATTTGTGCACTTTTAAAGTTTTGGTCAATGCATTGACCAGATCATTCTTTTCTTAACAGCTACATGTTTAAAAACTATAATAATCATGACTTAATTATGGGTGATGGTGATTGAATGTAGCCCAGTGGAACAAACCAGAGAAAAATATCCGATTTGATTATCAAAATGCTCTTGGTCAAAATTTTATGTTGGACTCACAACTTGGTAAACTCTAAACATGCCATAAACCATGCTTCATGGTGAAGAACTCTTTAGGCAGGCACATTTGTTAGTACCTTGTTTTGTTGTTTTGTCTTTATGATAGTTTATTCCTGACTATCAGTCAGATCCTGGTGTTCTGCCCTGCTCTAATTTTGGTGAATCGTCTAGATGGAGAAATGCCTGATTTATATTCAAAGGCTCAGAATGTTTCCTAAATCTGCAGAGAATGTAGTAATAATGTCGTAACATCACTAGAGGGGGCAGAAGCAACATTTTCAGGCCTGTGCATAAGTGTCCACAGTTAGCCATGATGATTCCAAATGATGAAATTCTTGCATTGTGATGTTGCATACACATATATAAGAGGCAAGGTTTGCATCACAACATATATTTTATCCCTTGCTCCCCAAAGCCTTTCTTATTTTTAAATAAAATAGATGTTTATGCTTATTGAAACTATAGTTTAATAGAAAAACATGCCATTGAAAAGGATGTTTGCTTTTGAGCTACAGGCCTATAGAATCTGCTTTTATAGTATTCATAGCTTTTTTTCTTTTTACATTTTATTGAAGGAGACAAATTGTTCTTTATTTGGGGGGTAGAAATTTTCAGCTTTAAAAGACTCCTTTAAATTCCAATTTTGAGACAGAATGTAATGAATTCTTCAGTGACAAATATCTAGCAGATTACATCCAGCATAATGTATGGGATTTTACGCAAAGGGAATAGAAAATTGCATGGAAAACTGTTATGCTTTATCAATGTAGTATTGTGTATTTTTGTTGAATATTGGCATAAAGGATATGGATCACTGTCAGTTTATTGATATAGTGATGCTCTAAAAGAAAATTAGTCCTTAAGCTAATAAGATAGCCTGGGCTATCTTCTCATAGCTTCTCCAGGTTGGGTAAAATGGTAGTTGATACAAGAGTTGTTGGAAGTCAGATGGCTTATAAATTGTATGTATGCATGTATGAATAAACAACAATTGTTGCTTATCAGGTCACAAAGAATCAACTAAATGATTGAATATAAATAATATGGTTTCCTTTTCATGCAAGGTACTGAGCTAGGCTTAGCCCATATGTTGAGGCCAAAGTTCTAGGGAGAATTATGAATTGGAGATATCTCCATTCTGCCTTGAATGAGTTAAAAAGCAGCTTTCACCCTGTTTTCTTAAGGCTTTCTGAAAATAATTGCTGTCCCATTGGAGAGGAAAAATACCATACAGTTTAAAAAATAATGTGGCATGCACTCCATTAAAAACTATTCAAAAATATAAAATGTTATCACCACCAAGTGAGATCCAGCTTCATTTTTTTTTTGCATAATTTTTCACCCATTACAACTTATGTCATATATGGCTCTCAGCTATCACAAAGTAATGTGAAAACTGGTATTTGTGATGCTAGTTACTAGGTAATAGGCTTATGCAGAAGAAATGGTTTGCAGAGTATGTTGATAATGAGTGAAGCATCCTTCCTCAATGCATCAAAGCACCATCCTCCTTTCAAGGTTTACATTGCTCTTTTCAAGACTGTATCTAATTTTCTGCCTATGCGTGCACATACAGCTCTTCTATTGGGACTGTCAGGAAAGTATAATACCTCCTTAGGCACAGCAACCCTAGAATATTGTGGACATTCTTCAAAGAGGCTAACACTATTTTCAAAATGCACAGTAGCTTTGAGGAGTAGTGCTTTGCTTATGTTTAACACAATTGGTTAAGAGACCCTTTCAAAATCTTTGGTCAACCCTACATATATTATCAGGGCACTTGTGTTCTTGAAGCATTAGGATAGTCTATCTATTTATAGTTATGATAATTCAGCTATCCTGCTTTGTGAAATGATAGATGTCAATAGATCACCAAGAGTTGGGCTTTACCTTTTTCCAGTAACTGAGTTAATTTATTAAATGATTTTAGGAAATGAATTCTTATTTATAGCACTCAAATGTAGATGATTACTGCCTCTTTTGTTATTTTAGTTATATTTTTCTACTTCCAAAAAGCTCACTTTTGAGAGCCAGGATCGCAGTTCAGCTTCCTAATCAACTGAATTTGGCATGAGGCTGTCCTAAAAAAAGCAAAGTTGGTGCCCCCCCTTAAAAAAATACAGGAGATTGGTTCAGATTTGAAATGGAATGCCTTTAGGAAATTAATCACACCCATCCTTATCATCAGACCAGATAACAGGTATCAAAATCTGAAATTATTCAATTGAAATGCAGCACTTCTAAGCCTTATTCAGTGGTGTGATTTGGGAATGAGAGGAAGCCACTTATGGAACTTGTACGATCAATGTGACGTTCTCTGGCTCCAATCCATTGAGAATAAAGAGAAGCAATTCCCAATAAGCCAGAAATACAATTATTTCTTTTTTCATTTTTTCTGCTGGTTGTAAATAAACTCCAGCTGGTTTCCTTCATATTTTAAAAGTTTGTTGCTGCATTGTTTCACATTTAGGGTTGTTCTTTAAGATTAAGACAGAACATTATTGGAACTATACTCCTAACAGTTTTTGTTGTCAGAAGGAGTCCATCAAACTAAATATTTTTTTGCTATTGCTATCAGTAAATTGGTTTATAATTGCCCATTATTATGTACAATATTTTAATTCTGAACATTTTGGGGTTTTTTTAATGCTTACAAAATGTGGCTTAGTTAAGAAATATAAAAATCAGATTGTAGTAAAGCGGTATCTATGACTACAAATCTGATTTCAGACAGATTTTGTTGTATGATTTAAAGGAAACTGCTTTTCCTGGTTTTCTAGTAATAATTATTTTTATTATGAGTGAGAAACTTAACCCATTGTGTAGGACTATCATCTGACAGTATTTATTTAATGGAGGATGGGGACAAACAAAATGGTACAATTATGCATTCCCATGTTAATCCACTACATCAGTATAGGAACAATGAATGTTCCATACTTTTTCCCCAACTTTCTATGGCTTGATTTCTTTTTAATGAGCTCATATTTCAGCCAGCACAAGTACTTAGTAAACCAATGAAGCAATTTCTCCCAAGTTGGGTATGAAGTAGTTTTTAATGCTTGTAGGTAATAAGAATACTGTATACATAATTAATTAGATTCATCGCAGGCAAAAACAGCCAGTGGAATTTTGCAATTCCACATTAGAAATAGGATGGGTTATAGTATCAGTTATTCAGAAAGGCATTGGATGGGATAAATATGAGTTTTCTATTTTCCAGTTTTCATTTAACTGCTACTTTGTTAAATACATTTCTAAGTCAAGAATGATGTAGATGGTGCTTCATGGCCCTCTGGTTGTTTTTGACCTCTATTAACTCTGGCCACAATTGCTAATGGAAAGGAACTATAGGAACTGTAGTTTGAGAATAGCTGAACAAAAGCATTTAGTCAACTCCTGCCCAAAACAAGGTTATGTTGATACACTAAAACATCTGACATGCCAGATTGAAAGACAGAAGTTGGAAACTATTCATGTTGGTAGTAGCCTAGATTTTTGTATTAAGAGAAACCTTTGGAGAATATTTACCTATTTTGCAAATATGGTATCTGCTTTCCATGAGCATTCAGAAGGACTGAGTTGAGTTTCCTGATGATGGCACTTGTTTTGTTTGAGTCAAATCTTTGACGTTTGAAATAATATCTTCTAAGATTGAAGTGTAGTTATAAACAATATATTATTTATATTAATGAATTTTGCCAATTTGAAGCAGCAGAAAAGTTATGTTAAAGAACCTTAATAGAATCTCCATGTCTCATTGATAAATTTTAAAACCTACTTATTCACCAAATGTCAGGATTTAACTGAAAGTTTTACAAACCATTTTCTGTTCAGTTTGAGTGTCATTATGGAAAACATTGTTAGTTGTGGGATATAGGATAATATATTTTGTACACTTCAGTTACTAGAGTAATTCTTCTTGGGTGGGTGCTGTTAGATAAACTAAAAAAAAATAGATGGCATCACAGGAAACCTGAGACATACCTAAATATTTTTAACATGTAGATTGTTACATAATTTCCAAATGAAACATAAATACAGCTTTTGAATTTAGTATATTCTCACTGTAGTCTCTAAAAGTAGTTCCTTTCTATTTTGATAAAAATTGTCAAGAAATAATGGTGTATCTTGGAGTGTTTTCATTATTGAAAGGACTTGTTTTACAAGAAAACAGTTCATTAAGAATATTTTTATGAGGCAAGCTGTAATCTGTATGAGATTTTATATTTTACATAATTGTCAGTGTTCTTATTCCATGATACTATCTCTATTGGAGTAAGGGAGTTTTTTTTAAAAATCTCTGATAGCATTAATGCCACATAAAATCATATTTGAAAATTATGTATACTCAGCTGAAATTTCAGTCAGTGGGAGGAAATTGATTTGTATTTTTTCAGCTATGTTTTTCACTCTTTTATTGTTTTTTTATCTTTTAAAAATTAATATAGAATATTTGCGTAGTGAATTTTATTGGCACATAAAATAGCAATTGTACCACCAAGCTGTGCATGCTTATTATTGCACATTAACACAAATATCTTGATACTGCCTTTTCTTTTTTTCCTGCCATTGAAAACCTTTTGGTTAATATTCCTTTGTAATATTTTAAAGAATTAGATAATTTTTTTTTAAATTAAAAAAATAATTTTCACACATTAAGTGCTTTATCTTAAATATCTCCCTTTTGAGCACATCACTTCTCCCCCCTACTGTATGTACATGCTTTCAACTGGATTTGTCTTTTACACTTTGCAGTATTTTTAGAAAAGTCCTTTCTAGTGCAGTTTACGGTGACGGTATTTCCCCGCTTTTTCTTTTGCTGTGTTGGCACAGGCATTGTGCTTATTCTGTTGCAAGTGGTTCCAGTATTTGATCAGTTCGCTAGGCTGGAACTGATGGGAGGTAATTAGATGACTATATTTACAGCTGGAATAAGAAACCCGCCAGTGATTGAAGATAAACTCATTGGGTGGAGGCATTGGGTCAATTCTCAGTTTGGCAAGACAGATGCCTACATATACATCTTCTAAATGCAACCGTCTGATACTCAGTGAAACCTTAAAAATTTTTTCCGCTAAATCTCCAGAAAACACATAGCCAGTCCCAGAGCAGAATACAGGGTAGCGTTCGCTTGGGTACAGATCAGGTGGCATGTACCACTTACTGTCTTTGTTCCGATTAGGTGCATACCCTCTCATTAGATAGCCAGTAAAGTATTTTTGCCGGGGAGGCAGCTCTGGCTTCAAAAGCTTGTGTATTAAATACTCTGTATTTACAAACATGTCGCTGTCAGTTTTCATAACATATGGAACATTTGGGCAGTAAGTGGCCACCCAATTCATCCCCATGAGTGTTTTAATTGTTAAGTTGTAATAAGTATCCAAGTATTCTTGTTGGATAATATCATGGTATTGCCTGCTTTCTTCTAGGATGGCTTGCTGAAGGTATCCATTTAATTTAATACTTAAACCTAGCAAAAAAATCCGAACTATTTGAATCCCAGGTGCCAGGCTTTCATTTCCCCAGGTTTGCCTGATAGCTTGCCGAGGTTCCACCTGGCCTGGTTCTGCAGCTATAAGAAGTATTAGGAATGGACTTGATTCCTGGCATTTTTCAGGCTCATTGATGATGTATTTAAAATGATATGAAGCTGGATGCCCAATTCCCTTTGCATTGTATATACTCCCATTGGCACTGAGTGTGTTCTCTAAACCAGTAACTCCCTGAGGTGACATTCCCGTATCATTGGGATTAATAATCATCTGTGGCCTCAGGGTTTGAGGAACTGCATCTTTCCAAATGGTCCTTAAGGAGCTGTGGTTTGTTTCACTTTTTGTTGATCTAAATCCCCGTGTAGTATATGCCACAGGGTTTTCTTTGTATCCAACTCTCCCAGGCAGCCAATCATGGTGATTAAAAAACAGAAATATAGCAAAAAGGAACACAAGAGAAAATAGACCAATGAAGTGTGTGCGAAAGAGAGACCGTTTGGTATTCCAGGTCATCTTGGCAAAGCAGCAATGCCGCCTTCTCCACTGAAGCATGTTGTAAGTATCCAATAATGGATATGAGTGATTGAAGGAAGAGCTTTTTTGTTTGGAATCCACTGCTATTTCCTGGAATTCATCTTGCGTCTTTTATAGGGAGATGGCTAGTGACTGGGGAGCTCTGCAAAAATCAAAGGAGATTTAAGTGAATAAGTTTTCAAAAGTTGCTTTCAAAGATCTTTTTATGAGGAGCATATCAAAAATAAGAGCTTTTTTTTTTAACAGAAAGAGGAAATGACGTTAGTAACTTAGGCACTACTGTCAAATTTTCAAATTATTTCTTATTTATTGGTTTGGCATTCAAACCATCTTGGTTATTTATTCCCTTTTTATAATTGATAAATTACTCCCAAAATCTCTTGATTAGTTCTAAGCCCTGCATGTTTTGAATTCACATTCTTCAAATCCATACCGAATACTTGCCCAGTTTGCTGTTCTTGAGTTTTTGATTTGTGCAATTTGTTTTAGTATGTGGCACTGATACAAAACAAGATTATGTTCCGTGATTTTAAAACTTTCTATCCTCAAGAATCCCTTCTGCCTTGAGTATAGCTATTACTTTTTTTTAATGTACAGGGTTGCTACAATCCCATATACTTACATATTGGGGTATATATTTTAAAATAGGTGTGCTTGGAGCAAGATGATTAATGGCTTGAATCAAACCAAGTTTCAACATACTACAAACGAAGAGTTCTTGTTAAAGATCAAATATAAAGAACTTGGTACCCAATGGCAGGATTATGAGAACTAATTAAAGCTAATATGAATGCATTACCTAGTATGATTCACAGTATCTAGTCTCAGTGTCTCTTGAGAAATTGTTATACATTGATAGAGGAACAGTCGTAAATGACTAATTATGCCAGAACTCTGTTAGTCACAGTATGTTGCTTCGCTTGTTTCCATTGCCCCCTCCTGTGTCCAGAAAGTCAGTGAGAAGATGCACTTTTTAAAATTAATTTTCAGGATGCACATAACTCACTTAAATATCCTTCAGAATTAACAAATACTGAACATTTTGATTCGTAACTGGTTTTGACCCTTTCAAATGTTCTTAAAAAGTTATAATAGAGCTTGATATTATTTTCTTTACATGATTATATCATATTCAAAAAAATCACATTAAATATCTCTTTAGCTTCTAAAAGCTGTTGTAATTCATTTGGGATTTCAACTATGTACTTGCACATACAGACCTACTCCCTCTGCCCATTAGTAGCATTTCTTAGAAATAAACCAGTCTTAATAGAAAAGCTGTACATACTTATGATGAATAAGATACTATAAGCAATATTTAAATATTTTTAGTAGATCATAATTAACATTTTATAATTTCTTACTATTACTTCATTTTTGTATTCTAGAATAAAGGTAATATGGAATTTTCATGATACTGCATATTAAAATTCATGACATTATTCTCAACTGAGCCATTTTGAACAAAATATAAATTGATTTGTGATTCCATGCATTGTTTTAAATGCTGGGGCTCTGAGCAAAGTAAAAGTCATATGAATATTTTAATAAGAAATAATACTTTTAAAAATATAAATTTATACTATAATTAATGGCTTTGCTATCTTTTATCTTTTATATTGGTTTTTTTTTTTAATTTAAAGGAGTGTTGCATAAATAGCAAATTCAATGTCAGTTTCTCATTTTAAAAAGAATGTGATTGAATGAGATTATGATGTTAAATTGTCCTTAAACAGGTTGTTTCATCAAACAGGAACTTAAATATACAGTAGCAAAAACAGTTTGAAATAAATGGTAATTCAGTCTTTTAATTTTTCCAGTAGATATTGGAAAATCCAGTACAGTATAGAACACATAGCAAATCTTTTGGTGTCTCAAAAGAAGTATTTTCTGTCATTCAAAACAAAAGCTCCAGTTCATCATACTAACTACCACTAGGCGGAGCAAGTAGTAGGCTTAGCTTTGGATTGTAGGATGCTGTACATCTTTGTAAAACTTATACCATCTTTGAGCTATAAATTAAAATTCTTAAAACTGTTTTCCCTGGAACAATAAATATCCTATTAAAGTTGTCCCTTTGAACTTGAAAGGTTTCAAGATTAAATATTCACAATAAGTGGATAAATTCTAACATTATATTTTAATAATTTCTTGTTTATAATTTACACATTTTAATTAAAAAAATTAATAAAATGAAAATAATATTTTAGATGATTTTTTGTATATGCAAATATGTATTAACCACTTGAGATACAGTTAACTGGTGTAGCTATGTGGAGGACATTGTAAGGACTTCCTCTAAACTGTGTCTTTTTAGAACTAGATTTTATTTGAACGAAGTCTCCTGTATTTGTTCATTACATCTATATGTAATATACACTTAATAGTGCACAGAAAAGGACAATCTTTTGTTCTTTAAAGCATATGTAAGGTGAGTTCAGTGTTAATTGATTTTACTATTACATTATATCCAGTGAAAGAATACATAAAATATTTAACATAATCTTAGCTGAAAACAATTACATTGGTTTTGTAAGAAAAGTAACAATTATATCAGTTACTTTATATTTTTGCATGCATCATGTTACAATTTTGTAACTAGTGAGGACACTTATTTTAAGATTTAATATGCCTACAAGTATAAGGTGTCAAAACATAGATGCATATAAATTTTAAAGTTGGTTTCTCCGCAGACTGCAAAATGTTCATAGTTTAGGATCCAAGATACTATGTGTAGGTAGCATCACATGTACTCTGGATCTTTCTCAGTTTCAAGCATCCCTAAAAGCCACTCTTGAGGGTCAGGAAACTACATTGCACTGAGATAAACAAGAATGAAACTGTGGAAGCTAGTGCTTGCTCTCTGATCATAAATGGGCCACTTTGGATCATGGCCTACATTAAAAAAACTATGTTGAATGCCTCCTCGAGTTTCAGGTGCTCAGCTCAGATTGAATGCTAAATTGATGTTGTTTTGTTTTGGTTATGGACTTGCATATTTAAGTTGCCCGTAATTTATTTTTATCTCTTGAGCGCTCCGGTCAGTAATCAGAATATTTCAGGGGGAAAGAAGGAAGAATGAAATTTGATATATGAGGCAGAGCAAATTTTTTAATGTCTGTATTAAATAGAGTCTCATATAAGTTTTAACATACCTGCATTAAGACTAACAGGTGGAGGAATTTTCATTAGTCATTTTAAAATCCGAATAGTTTAAATAAAAATCCATTAAATGTAAAGCAATTTATTTTGACTAAGGAGTTTTAAACATTATACGTGATAGATATTTCAATATACATATTCTCAGGCTGTTTATTCTATTCTGTAATTTACCTCAGATTTTGTCCTATTATACTCTCAAAACCAGATTTTTCCATTTTTCTTTACTTTTTATTATGCATTTTGCTTAAGGCAGTGAAAACACATTTATGCTTAACAATCATTAATGATATATTATTAGTTGTTGGCTTGGGTTTTGGAAGAGAAGGACTCAGGCAGTAAAGCAGTGTTAAAATTGCAATAGATTGAGGACTTAAATTTTTATTGCAGATAAGTAACCTGTGTTTTTTCCAATAAGCATTTCAAACAAAACCATCCAGTTTAAATGACTAGGATTCCTGGCAATATCGTTGTTTAATAACAGCTTTTTGTTACTGTGCAGCTCAAAACATCACATGCTACTCAGAACTTGGGATGGTGTGATATATACCCCCATCTTGAAGGAAATAGAATATTGATGCTTCCTTCTGAGAATTCTAATAGTTATTGATATTACTATCTGCCCAGTTGATCCTAATACTCAAATCCCAAATCACTATCCTCCTTTTTTGGAGCCCTTTCGGAGGATTGTGTATGTCAAATCAGGTGTGGCTGCTAATAATAATCAGATGGCACGGGCTGAGGGAGTAAATCAAACCTTGAAAGGTTGAAGATGCTATTGAACTTACTGGATTGCCTAAGTGTGTTCTTTGATGGTTTTCAGAATATGTCACATAATACCGTAGCTGTGTTACTAGTGTTACTCAAACACTAGTAAGAGTAAAATTGTTCCTAGTTTAATTAGCTGATTTTTTTTTAACACAGAGAGGATGAAGGAGATTTTTTTATATAACACTGTTTTTGCTAATAGTCTTTCCTCACCTTTCTTTCTCATTTTTCTAATCTCCCCAGTTTTAGCACTGGACTACAAATGATGGTTTTCTTAACAAGCACATTTCAATCCAGTCACATTTTTATCAGCTGTGCATACAAAAAGCCCTGCATACATTATATAAATATATACATGAAAACAGTTAATCACCCAGGAAGCATTAACTCTGACTTCTCAGTGAGTGGATGACAATGCTCTCTATTCTGTTAAAAAATCATGCACTTGAATGAAATATCATACAATGATTTGACATACCTTCCTTGTTCAGGCCATTTGTAGCATGAAAAGATTAAGCCCACTGCAAGTAGTTTTGGCACACCATCCCTTCAGCCAAAAAGATGCTATCAGCCATGCTTTAATCTCCCTCCCCCCAACAGCCTACTGCCCGAGACTGCTTTTAAAGGTATCCACTGTGTCCATCTGTATGCTTCCTGCTCTGCTTCCTTCCCTGATCACCAGCCTTCTTTTCTTGATTTTTCTGTGGTCAACTCTCAAGAGACGGAAGCAGCACTTCTAGTTTCCATCCTTGCAGACATTGTCTGCTAGTGCTGACAATAGAAGCATTGAAGCTTTTACAGTTGGTGGTTCCCTTCTTGGACAATGCAGTGCTGTGTTCTCTCTTCAGTATCCATATTTCTAGTGGCGATGTGAGGCAAAGCAGCAAGAACTAGCTAAAATCAGAAGCTGTTCTCCGGCATTTGATAATAAGATTTAGCCCACTTTCTTCATTGTTGCTAGGCAGTAACCAAAAAGGATGAGTTGAAAGATGTGAGGAAGAAAAGGGATTTAGCTGAAGGTTTTGTTCAGAAAAATCCAATCCGTAGTTCCTCAGCTGCTGCACAGGAAGGCAGCAGTTTAAATGTGGGCTTTTGACAGATGCTGTCTTCTGACGGAGCAGAATTTCACGTCATTGCTTGGCTATGTCCCACGTGACAGTTTGCATTCATTCGGACTAAATCTGAGAGCAGCCAGAGAGAGCTCACTGTTTTTGCTTCTCTTCAACAGACAATACACACATCCAGCATAGCACTGAATGAATAAAATGAGAGATAATGGGGATTGATGAGATCAGTGTGTTTTCCCCGATTACCTTCCTTTATCTTTAGTCTATACATTACCACTTCCTAAACATGTCTTAATGTCAGATATTAGTTTTCCTGAATCCAAACAGATTTCTGCATTATATAAATGCAAACTCCTTAGTATATTGACTTTTACCTTCTATCTTGAGATTTTTATAAATTATCTTGAGGTAAATTTATCTGCTTATATTAGACACATGCCTTATTTTGAAATGTTAATCAAAACAGCTTCTGTCAGTTTAAACTTCACCATATTTTAAATATATAAAACAATTACATCATCAGAGTAATAATTTGATATCCATTTCTTTTCTTTTTTTTTAAGAGAGGCCAAAAGTTTATTTAGTGAAGCATTCTATTTCCACGTGGTTAAAAAGCACTTAAAGAATTCCATTAGCCAGACTTGAATACAAAAGCATCATTGTTTTTATACACATCTAAGAGCAGGGAAAATGATGTCATTTGCATCATGATGTCATTGCAATAATGATGATTTGTGCTGTAAGCGTTATTGTGGTTACTGGATTCCTTCATCTCAACTGAGATTAAATAGGCACATTGACTTTGATAGGGATATATAACCTTCTTGATAGTGCAGTGCTTATAGCTTTTTTTCTATAAATTTATTTCTATTTCCTTTTTATTAAAGTTACTACTCGATAATAAAATAATTTTAATTGTGAATTGTGTAAATACATTTTTTTAAAAAATATTTTCTATAGTCTCCTGCCATTTGACTTCATAGTATGAGCCACAGTTTGCAGTGCAGTTTGAACGAGAAAGAGTTTTTCAGCTATTCTATTTAAGATTGGCATCATGTTAAACATTTGTAAACGTTAGAGGTTAATCATTTTTACAATTAGATCCTCATTCAATTTTCTTTCTGAGATTAAAAAAATATATCCTAATGTAATTGTCCGTGACTTTAGGAGACTTTTGTGAAGGAATTTGTCAAAAACATTTTGCAAATCCAAATGAACAGTGGTTGCCAGAATATTGTTTTACCCATTTACAGTAGAATTCTTTATTGGCTATGTGATTGGAAACACACAGAATTTGTCTTTGATGCGTAAGCTCTCATTGTACATAAAAATACATTCATCAAGAAACATAAGATACAACACTTAGTGATAGTCATTATTGAGGTATCCCCCATTAGGAGAATGAGTACAGTCAGGGAAACGTAGTGAGAGTGCTGTTGAGTAACACACGACCAGCATATAGATACACTGAATAGTAAAATGTAGGTTTTACTTCCAGTAAACGGGTAAACAAAGTCCAACAAACAGTCCAAATCATACACAGTTAAAGCAGTAAGTATCAGTCCAGGGATAATCCAAAAACAAAGTCAAGTATCATAAACAGAGTTCAGTAAACGGAGTTTGCTAACAGTTGCAAGACTCACAGCAATCCAAGCAGAACGACAATCAGGCAAAATGGCAATACAGGAAATGCAAGGAGAAAGAAACCAGGTTTTCGGCTCCACCTTATGGCCGTTGGAGGAACCTCAGCCAATCACAATTACAGCATGCTCTTAAAGATACAGTATTAAATGACTATCCTGGTTTATATATTTCCAGCCCAACTGTTAGGTGATTATCATTCCTAACAGTCATAGTTTATTTACTGACATTCCTCAAAGCTTTAAAAGATTACAAATTCAGAACTTTTTCAGAAGCCACTTTGATTCATTTTTTTAAAGAAAAAGTGTATGTCTGATACTTTTTAAAACTGAATAATGCTTTTGATCAGTATATCCTGTAGAGAGATTTCAGTAACAGATTTATAATTTCCTTCCTCCATTCCTGATCACTTATTTTTTTAAAAATGACTTTGTTTTAACTACTTCCTGCATATAATGGCATAAGAAACATGTCGATCTGTTTTCCTCTATTTCTACTTCTATTTTATGTGTTGTGTCTGTTGTATGTTATGAATGCCAGTGTGGTGGTTAAGTAGCTCGAATAAGAATGTATTAAGAATAAGAAGACCCATATGTTGTTTATTTTTATTTTTAAAATAAATATTAAGGATTATATTTGAAATAATTAAAATGAAATAAAAAGATGTTTAGATTGAGATTAATGAAAGAATTTAGAATTAAACATTATTATTATTATTATTATTATTATTATTATTATTATTATTATTATTATTATTATTATATTATTATGAAAACACATATTGTTTATCTTTATGTTTGAAAACAAATACCAAAGGATTATATTTGAAATAATTGAAATGAAACAAAATCGATTGAGATTAATGAAAGAGGCCAGAATTAATGTGTTTGTTTCACTCCTTACTGAAAATTTGGAATGGAAAAGGCAATAATAGAATTAAGTATGCATATATTAATGTATAATTGCCATCATATTTGTATGTAAAAATGATGACCCGGAAATATGTTGTCCACTAAAAAGAGATTTTTGTTTTTAATGTGAAAAACTGAATAAAGTTTGTTTAAAAAAAAAAAAAGAATAAGGAGACCCAGGGACTAGTCTGCCTCAGCCCCAGAAATTCACTGAGTGATTTTGGACCAGTCATTCCCAGCCCTTACAAACTTTACAAGTTTGTTGTTGTAGAAAAAATTAGGAGGAAGACATTTGTGCACTACCTTTAGCTCCTGGGTGAGAAGTGGGATATAAACATAATAAATAATTCATGCTAATAATTAGAGAAATATACACTCTTTTATTAGGTGTGCAAGCTTCAGAATTAACATTCTATGTAATTCAGCCAATGAAGTAGTTAAAGTGAACTCCTTGATTATGATGGTTGATTCTGGATAATCACCTCTCATGTCGTGATATCAGATCCATATTATGTATAATATCTTCAGAGCTCAGACAGCCTGCACCCCATTTAGTTATTCTTTCAGAAATATTTCTTTACCAAACAGAAAAAAATGGAATGACCACAGGTGGCAAAACAACAATGAGAGAGGGAGCAAGCCAACTTCCAGCTGACTTCTATATTGAGTTTTCTTGTGGGAAGCTGGAAGGAAGCATCAGAAAGCTTCCTTCTTCCCTGAAGCAGCCACAACTTTCTCAGATTTTATTCCCTTTGGAATCATGGGTCTTAGATTTTGGACACATTCTGTAAGTAAGTCAACTTGAGATATCTTGGATCAAAAATTGTTGCCCCTTTTCCCCCATTAATGATTATGAGAAAAAATAGTATACTAGTATATAGATTGCTATGACTAGAAAGGTAAATATAAATGCTTAACATATTTAAGATATTTGTAGAAATATAACTTTATGAATATGTATGTATGTATGTATGTATCCAACTATGAAATTTTCAGGAGTCATAATTAATTTAATTAATTAATTAATTGGCATGGTAGGTATGCTGGATTTCATCAAGGTCACAAAATGGTCACATCAGACCACAAAATGAAGTGTGATAATTCAGAATAGATGTTCATTTATCCAAAGTGAACTAAACCCTCTGAACCCACTAATTCTCCAGGCTCCATTCCTGATTCATTTCTCCAAGGTCCATCATATTGAGAAAGTTAATAGGGAACTATGAGAGGAGGGGAAGCTATACTCATGTGTATCTGTCTAAAATTTCATATGAATGCTTTTGTTGACAATAGTTAGCTCTACAAATTCTATCACATCGTGCCCTAAAATAACATTCTGAATCATAAAAACAAACAAACAGCATTGGCAACATTACTCTAGCTGTCATGCTAGTTTACCCATTTATTCAATGTGATCCAGGCACACTGGACTACAGTGTGATCCAGGTCCTATTGGACCAACTGAACAGAACGGAGGCAAAAATATTCTTTGTTTCAGAACAATGTGTTCTGAATACATTGTTTAGCCTGATAACACATTGTTCTGAAACAAAGAATATTTTTCCCTCAGTTTTGTTCAATTGGTCTAGTAGGAATCTGTAGGCCAATTACTTGAACACCTGCATCTGGATTTGAAGACTTGAGTTTGTATAAAGCATAAAACATGTCCATGGTAACTCTTCTCAAAAGATTTTTAGGTTTATACAATTTTTTCATGTTTCTTTGGGCTATTCTGATCTTTCGTTATTTTGTCATGCTTTATTGTATTTTATTACCTATTTCCACCCACCCACACATTGAGAAACCTAAGAAAAAATTGTTCTGGCATATTCCTTTCCCCAGAATTCATTTATGAAATGGTTCTGCCCCATTTTCTTCTAATATTATGTCTGATGCATCTCTAGCCTTTCATACTTAGTTTGTATCATAATAACCTAATTCACCTGTTTTTCCATATTAATGTTGCTAATATACAGCCTAACTGTAGAGTACACCCCAGTGCTATCTATTTGACTATTAAGAAGGTGTAAGATAATCTGCAATCATGTTAAGCAAATAAGTCAGTTTACGGTTTATATGCTTGCAGCAAATACAATTGCCTATATCTTTTGTCATATACAGTACCAAGAGTCTGCCATCCCCAGTAAAATATATTTGATTCAAAGATGATACCTCCAGTTGTTCTTTTCTCAAAGATTGTTTCCCCCTTTTTGGAATGACATTGTTCTTCACTGATGTATTTTTTGTCTATGACTACAGAGGAACTATCAACCTAAAAATGGAATCTATCTGGTGCATCTTCAAAATTTGTTGAACATAAACTTGTCTATCCTTTTAGTCTTTCCAATTCTCCAAGGAACAGAGGTTCTTTACAGATTCATTTCAGTACCTTCTAAGGAAAGGTCAAACCCACTTTGTTTCTAATGTTGGCAAAGACAGGAATAAACAGTAGAGCCATATTAATAATGACAAACCTGTATTGTTTAGGTTAGTAATGAAATGAATCGGGTAGTAATCCAATAAAGTGCACAACTGTGGAGAAGAGGGTTGCTATTTATAACCAAGTACTACAAATATAAGGTTAGTGTCTGTATATGACTTACAATGTCTTGTTTCATATAGATCTAGCTAAATACTTCACTCATGAGCTTTTCATTCAAAAGAAACCCTCCTCCTGAACATGTGAATCAATAAATGGTTAATACTTTCTTATATTTTGCATCAGTGGTAACAAATTATAGTGTTAATTTCAGGTTTTCATGACACCAGGGACGTTTAAATCAAAATGATGTGTGTATTTCTAGTTTTTCATTTCCCTTCCCTTCAGTTT